AAAAAAAAAAGACAAAAACACAAACACAAGGAAGCTAAACAACATGCTACTAAACTACCAATGAGTAACTGAAGAAATCAAAGAGGAAATAAAAAAAAAATACATGGAAACAAATGAAACTGGAAATACAATGTTCCAAAATCCTTGGGACACAGCAAAAGCAGTTTTAAAAAGGAAGTTCAGGGCAATATCTCAAGAAAACAACAAAAAATCTCTAATAAGCAACCTAACTTTATACCAATGGAACTAGAAAAAGAAGAACAAAGGCCAAAACTGGTAGAAGGAAGGAAATAATAAAACTTAGAGAGGAAATAAATAAAAGAGACTGAAAAGAAAACAAAAAGAAAAAGAAAAGAAGAAAAAGAAAAGAAAAGAAAGAAAAGAAAAGAAAAGAAAAGAAAAGAAAAGAAAAGAAAAGAAAAGAAAAGAAAGAAAAAAAAGATTGGGTGCCTGGGTGGCTCAGTCAGTGAAGTGTCTGCCTTGGGCTCAAGTCATAATCCCAGGGTCCTGGGACCAAGCCACCGGTTGGGCTCCTTGCTCACTGGGGAGCCTACTTCTCTCTCTCCCTCTGCCATTCCCCCTACTTGTGCTTTCTAATAAATGAATAAAATCTTAAAAAAAAAAAATCTAAATGTGAGACCTGAAACCATAAAATTCCTTAAAGAAAAAAACATGGGCAGTAATCTCTTGGACATTGACCTTAGTAATATTTGTCTGAATGTGTCTCTTCAGGCAAAAAAAAACTAAAGCAAAAATAAACTATTGAGACTAGGCCAAAATAAAAAAGCTTTTGCACACCAAAGGAAACCATCAACAAAACTAAAAGGCAGAAGATACTGGCAAATGAGATATCTGATAAGGAATTAACAGCCAAAATATTTCTAACTTCTACAACTCAACATCCAAAAATCACTTTGATTAAAAAATGGGCAGAGGACCTGAATAGACATTTTTCCAAAAATATCCAGATGGCCAACAGACACATAAAAGATGCTCAACATCACTCATCATCAGTAAAATGCAAATTAAAATCAGAGATATCACTGTCAGAATGGGTGGTATCAGGAATTCAAGAAATAACAAGTACTGGTTCGATGTGGAGAAAAGGTAGGCATGCAAGCTGGTGTAGCCACTGTGGAAAACAGTTTGGAGGTTCCTCAAAAAATTAAAAATGGGAATTCCCTATGATCCACTAATTACTCAAAGTGCTCACTCAAAGAAATAAAAACACTAGCTTGAAAGATACATGCACTCCTATACAATATTTACAATATCCAAGTCATGGAAGTAATCCAGTGTCCACTGACGAATGAATGGAAAAAGATGTGACTGGTGGGAGGATATGTGTGCAGGTATGTGTGTGTGAAAGATGGAATATTACTTAGCCATAGAAAACTAAGATCTTGACATTTACAACAAATGGACCTAGAAGATGTTATGCTAAGTTAAAAAAAAAAAAAAGACAAACCCCATATGATTTCACTTACATGTGGAATCTAAGAAAACAAATAAACAAAAAATTAGACTATAAATACAGAGAACTAGTGGTTGTCAAAGGGGAGGTGGGTGAGGGAATGGGTGAAATAGAGAATGGAGATTAACAGATACAAATCTCTATAAAATAAGTAGGTCACAGAGATGAAAAACACAGCATAGGAAATACACTCAAGGGATCCCTGGGTGGCGCAGCGGTTTGGCGCCTGCCTTTGGCCCAGGGCGCGATCCTGGAGACCGGGGATCGAATCCCACATCGGGCTCCCGGTGCATGGAGCCTGCTTCTCCCTCTGCCTGTGTCTCTGCCTCTCTCTCTCTCTGTGACTATCATTCATAAATAAATAAATAAATAAATAAATAAATAAATAAATAAATAAATAAATAAATAAATGAATGAATGAATGAATGAATGAATGAATGAATAAATAAATAAATAAATAGATAGATAGATAATTTTTTTTAAAGAAAGGAAATACACTCAATAATAGTGTAACAATGCTGTTTGGTGACTACACTTATGATGACCTTGGGTAATATATAGAATTACCATATTATATACTTGAAACTAATATAACATTGTAGGTTAACTATACTTCAATTTAAAAAATTTTTTTGATTAAAAAAAAGGAAGCCATCTGTACTACTATAAAAACTCAGTAAATTTTGTTTTTCCTACAAAAATAGTACATATGAGTTGAACCAAAAGAAATAGTAAAAAAAAAAAAAAAAGAAAGAAAGAAAGAAAAGAAATTGTGATTATTGGGCCAATTCTAACTCACTTCAATTAGTTCACAGTTGTTTTAGTAAATTGGTGGATGCAAACTGTCTTAGGCCACACTTGGCAAAGTAACATATGGCATATTGATAAGAATTATATGATAATAGCAAATACACAGTGCTAAAATTACCACTTCTATCATTCCTTCCTGAGCTTTCAAGTACGCATTTTCAAAAGCTGTCTGCTGAAGCTTCAAAGGAAGTGCCTTCAATAATGTGGAAGAACCTCCATGTTTCATATCCTGGAATAACCTTAAAAAATAAAAAAAGCAAAATAGTTTTTTACCTTAAACACTATTTTCCAAAGCATATCATGGGACACAAATAAATCACACTGTGAGATATACTAACATACTGGGCCTTATTTCAATAAACCTAATGAAATCTAAGCCCATTTAAACAGGTTCAAATCCAATGCTTAATATTAGGTTTTTAGCATATACTCCATTTCCTCCTAGAACTGAGAGGGTCTCAAAAAATCTTTTAGCTTATTACTCAAGTAGTCTTGAACTCAAACTAGCCCATAACGGTGACCAATTAGAGGAAGCCTCAGACTCTTGTCCACTTGCTGTCATTTTAAAAAGTGATCTTATCCCAGGGTGCCTGAGGTAGTTCAGTCAGTGAAGTGTCTCTTGATCTCAGTTCAGGTCTTGATCTCAGATCCTGAGTTCAAGCCCCATCCTGGGGGCTTTGAAAAAAAAAAAAAAAAGAAAGAAAAAAAGGTGATCTTATCCCACAAAGTGGATAGCTTTAAGCCTTAGTGATCTATTTAAATTTTTATGTGATAGAGAAGAGCTGAACAAAGCTTTCATACTTTTTGGTGTTCCTGAATCCTCCAGTTTCTCTAACATCTCTTACAGTAGACCAATATTAAATATCACCAATAACCAGAAAACAAAAAAATCTCAACAAATGTTATATTCATGTCATTCTTGAATTTATACATTTTTCAAATCTTAAAGAGGCTTCTGACCACTGCTCTGCTTCTATACTTCACTGTGTTTCTCCATACCCCTAGACCTTTAACTTCAGTGGGTATTCCCATCTTTTAAGGACTTGGGAGTCTTGAAGTAAAGTTCATGTTCATTAGCAACCCTTAAAACACAAGCCCTGAAGAGAATCCCATACCTGAGGAATTAGACACAATTCCAATTTGAGAAAATACTACTGTCAGATATTCAAACTGTTCACATACTAGGTTTATCTAACACATATATTTATTTGACTGCTGGGGCAATTTCTTTATAGCAATCTTTATTTATTGATCACCTATATCTGAATAGTAAAGTTACTCAAATGATTTTCAGTTTTGGTGATTTTAAAGCATAATTTAACTTCCTTTTTCAAATACTAATTTATTTTATAAATTACTGAACACCTACCACATGCCATTGTTTTTGGTGCTCAGTATACAGCAATGAACAAAACAGACAAAAAACTAATGCCTTCTAGAAGCTTATATTTTAGGTAGATGTGTTATATTTAAAACAACGTTCCAAGTAGTCATTCATGCTACTGAGAGAAACAAAGAAGAGGTACTTTATCTGCAGGGAGTGTAAGGTGGAAAAGGCAGAGACAGGTTACAATTTAGATTTTAAAAATTAAATAAATAAATAAATAAAATTTTAAAAAATAAAAAATAAATTTAAAAAGATTTTAAAAATCAACTGGACAACCTGATAAACATGTAGTGCTAGGAAATTAATATTGTTTCTTCAAGTATTCAAACACTACACAGGTCGCTACAATAGAATTACTCCAGTACCTAACTATATATTCATTCAAATAAATATAATTGCAATTAGCACAATGTAAAATGTGCTAATCTTCATTTTACAAACTCATGTAAAAATCACAGTAATAATATCCAACCATTCAATAAGTCCCATAAGTGGTAGTAGACACAGCTCATTCAACTCCACCTCTTCACTAGTTGTATCGCACTGACCAAGTTACTGTCTCTCGAAGCCACTTTTCATTTGTAAACTGGAGGAATTAGTGGTATCTCAGTGATAGAACTGTCAGAATTAAGAGAAAACATAAATGCCAAGCACATGGTATATGCTCAGGAAATCCTGGCTATTTTTTGTACAACAAGCTGTGCTACACATAACATTAACCCCTGCAGCACCCCAGACACATCAGGAATCTAGACCCATTACCTATTGATTGACTCTGCAGCCAACATGCTAACTTGATGATGATTATCAGCAAGAAAATGTGGAAATACTTCATTTACAGGGAAGTCTTTTCCCATCACATTAAGAATAGCCCATTTCGAATAAGGATCAGCCTATGGGAAAAGAACAACTGGTGTTAAATATGAGAGAAAATGATCCAGTTACAAACAGAAACAAGGGCTACTTTAAAATTTTTAATGGAGAACTTACTAACAATTAACATGAAATAACTCACCTCAAGCAAAGTTTTAAGGCATTTTACTAGTGCCATTCTTACAGAGAAAGTGCATTTCCCCTCTTTTGCTAAGTGCCTGAAACAAAAGTGTTTGAAAGTCAAATAATTATTCCAATAAAAGCATAGTCAAAAAAATTATTGGATATTACACTTAGTCTTACATTCTTATCCTCCCATGCTAAAATTTCTTTCCATATTAAATTTAATTCTCATTATGTGGCACACGCTGGTCAATATTCTCAACTTTCGTTAAGAAAGTTAGTTTGAGGGACACCTGGGTGGCTCAGTGGTTGGGTGAGAAGAGAAGTGGTGAAATGGCGGGGCAGGAGAGATTTACAGGTTTTTGCATAGCTCCACAAAATAATTATAACTGGCACTGGCAAAGGGGGAAGCCAGTGTTCCGGCCCTGCCAGGGTTACCCCTCCGGCACCTGGTTTGAGCAACAGCACTGTGGCTACTCCCTTTCTGTCTACAGCTGTGACTGTGCAGCAGATGGAAGTGGACGCCACCTCTCTGTGCGGGAGACCTCTGGATGCCCAGCTCAATCTCTGGTCACGCCTAAGGAAAGCACAGCTCTGGCAGAGAAACAAGATGAAGACCCACTTGAAGATCCAAATCTTCATTTGAACATTGAGGAACTAAACAAGGAGTTTATGGTGAAAAGTGAGGAATTCTATGACTCTCTCATGAGTTGCCACTGGCAGCCTTTGGATACAGTTCACTTTGAAATCCCAGATGAGGCCCCCAAAGAAGCATGAAGTTCATTAGGCTACCCAACTGTCATATTGATTGCCTCCTGTTTTGTTTTTGTTTTTGAAAAAAAAAAAAAAAAAAAAGCAAAGAAAATTCTCCCAGGAATGTATTGGACGCTATATGTAAATAGAAATCTCCGGGACTTAAATGTGTCTGATGTGATATAAATAAACATTACCAGCACACAAAAAAAAAAAAAAAAAAAAAAAAAAAAAAAAAAAACACCTTCAGCTGACCTTCAGCTCAGATCATGATCCTGGGATCCAGGATCAAGTCCCACATCAGGCTCCCTGTGAGGAGCCAGCTTCTCCCTCTGCCTATGTCTCTGCCTCTCTCTCTCTCAGTCTTGTCTCTCATGAATAAATAAATAAATCTTAAAAAGAAAGAAAGAAAGAAAGAAAGAAAGAAAGAAAGAAAGAAAGAAAGAAAGAAAGAAAGAAAGAAAGAAAGAAAGAAAGAAAGAAAGAAAGAAAGAAAGAAAGAAAGGAAGGAAGAAAGAAAGGAAGGAAGAAAGAAAGTAAGTTTGAAAATGAGTTCATTTGGGGCCCCTGGGTGGCTCAGTCACTTAAGCATCTGCCTTCGGACCAGGTAAGGATCCCAGGTGCCTGAGATTAAGCCCGGCAATGGGCTCCCTGCTCAGCGGGGAGTCTGCTTCTCCCTCACCCTTTTGCCGCTCCCCCGGCTCATGCTCTCTCTCTTGCTCACTCTCTCAAATGAATAAAATCTTTAAAAAAAAAAAAGTTCATTTTAATATACATTGTTTTATATGATTATGACTCTTCTAGGGGCTATCATACTTCAGCATACCATGTTATAAACTTACATTAAAAGGAAATCATTTGTAAAGTTTCATTCTTATATCAAAGATTTCAAAACCAAATTCCATACTGATTCAGAAGTCCTTATCAATCAAGTGGGTTCAAGAGTTCTAAACTACATGTGTGTTCTTATGTAAGTATCATAAAGTTACATCACACAGTGACTACATGCTTAAAATAACCAGAAGCTGACAAGGCCAATGTGTTCACTAGTTCTTCAAGCAATTAAGGAGGAAAACAGAAGCTACACACTACTGTTGTTAAAGGTTGTATACAGGGATCCCTGGGTGGCTCAGCGGTTTAGTGCCTGCCTTTGGCCCAGGGAGCGATCCTGGAGACCCAGGATCGAATCCCACGTCGGGCTCCCAGTGCATGGAGCCTGCTTCTCCCTCTGCCTATGTCTCTGCCTCTCTCTCTCTCTCTCTCTCTCTCTCTCTCTCTCTCTCTCTCTGTGACTATCATAAATAAATAAAAATTTTAAAAAAATAAAATAAAGGTTGTATACAGTTACATGCAAGGATTAGCATAAATCACTACGCAGAAATGCAAAGTTTGTAATTGTATCCAGAGCAGCAAAAGAACATTAAGAACTCCACAAAAACGCTGTACCTACCAAAATGCTCCAATCACTGTTAGAAACTGCCCTTGAGCATCCCTTGTGTTTTCAGCATCCATATTGCCTTGACACAGGTTCCTCACTATATGAACAATGTGGTTTAAAACTGCCTTACAAACATCCTGGTCACGTCGATACAAAGAACACACATTGCTGCAGTGGAAAAAATTTAACTTTGTAAGTGTAACAGAACATACCTATTAGCTTATAAATTTAAAGTGAACACAACACATGGCTTTAATTTCTTACGATAGTGGTTTTAGAAGTTCAACAACCTCTTCCATTGGCAAAGGATATTCTTCTCCAGGAAGCTCCTTCAAAAGCACTAGATACTAAGATAGTTGAAGAGAAAAAAAATCATTTTTTTCATAAATGATTTACTAAGTATAAATGTAACCATAAATTCAGCCATTAATGCATGCACATGTATACACACACACACACACACAGTGAATTTTCAAAAGAGGCAGTACAGTAATAAAGAGGTCTGAAGTTAAACAGAGCTGGATTCCAATGCCAGCACTACAACCTGTTACCTGCATAGTTAAAATAGTTGTCACCTGAGCCTCTGTACTCGCACCTATAAAATAGGGATATAGCCCTTAGCTGGCCAGATTGCTGTGAGGACTAAAGGAAATGAATGTAAATGTCTACTATTTATTGTAGGAATTCATTAAGTAGATAGCTGTTACTACTGTTGGGATTAAGAGCTTGAGCAAGAATCTGAAATTACTGTTAATGTCTCTATGCTCCAAAAATAATGAAGATAAAATTTAATGGTTAAAAACTGTTCTATGAATGAATTTTGGACAGTGGAGATAATTGTGGGCAGGGAAAAAGTAGAATACCCTTAGTTATCTTCCTATGAAGCGATCTTATAGGGTTCTCTATGCTATCGTTGGTACCAACGACCACTCAGCAACTACAGGTATAATCATGGTAGTTGGGCAGCCCGGGTGGCTCAGTGGTTTAGCACCGCCTTCAGCCCAGGGCCTGATCCTGGAGACCGGGGATCGAGTCCCACGTCAGGCTTCTTGCATGGAGCCTGCTTCTCCCTCAGCCTGTGTCTCTGCCTCTCTCTCTGTGTGTCTCTCATAAAACAAATAAATAAAATCTTAAAAAAAAAAAAATCATGGTAGTTATAACAAGGCAGCCAGTTCCTGAGAGCTGCCAAATCCCTTTCTAGTTATAGTAAAAAATCAGAAGGCATTTTCTCTATCATGTACATGTAGAAAAATGTTTCTTATTCCTTTTCAGATATTATAAAAGAAGATTAAATTGGACCATCTTAAATATCCGTGTTGAGAATCACATGTGTGATGTTATTAATTAAGTGTCTTGAACTGATTTTAAGCACCAAGGCCTCAAGAAAAGTACACAGATCTCCTCATTGGTCAAAGCTGGATACTTGACTAGTTTGCCAGGGTCAAAACCAGGGTATCAAACAGGATTCAACCAAGCATGTTTGCTGGGGTCAGAGGATCAACCCACTTAGTCACTGCAGCTGAAACATGATGAGAGATTCTGGCACGGACTCAACCTACCTGACCACGAAAGGTTCTAATCAGGGAATTCCCCTGGCATGTTTCCTAAGGGCTGAGGAAACAAAGGCATATGTGCCAATCCACTGGGACTGGGGACATGACCACAGACTCACCCAGCAGATCTGCTGAGCCAGAGGCTCCCTCTCAATGTTCACCAGTGCTGGGGCAAGGAGGATGGCCTCCATGGTCAGGAGGTACATTACATGTAAGAATTCTGAGTGAATATACTGTACTGAAGGTGAGTGGGAAGCCAGCTTTCTTCCCGTTGGGAAAGGGAGCTACAAATACGCTGGAAATGAAGATATCTATTTGTATATGGATAGACTGGGGGTGGGGGGTAGGGCAGGAGAGGGATTTCTTTTCTAGTATTCTCACCAAAACCTAAATCTAAATCTAATTATGAGGAAATAGACAAACCTAACACGAGGGCTTTTGGAGAACAAATGGCTGTCCTATTCAAAAATACGAAGGTCAGGAAAGGTAAGGAAAAACTAAGGAACTATTCCAGGTTCAGAAACTGAATAGACCTGAAACCTAAATGCAACGATATAATGTTAGTTTCCTGATTATACTGTGCGTATATAGGACAGTATTACTGTTTTTGGCAAACACGCACCAAAGTACAAGGGCATCACAACAGCAACTTAATCTCAAAATGTTTCAGAAAAAAAGACGTATGTGTGCATGCACGCAGAGGGAGAAAATCAAACAGCAGATTTAGTAAAATGTTAACTGTGGAAGTGTATGAAAGGAATAGAATTCTGTAACTTTACTGTCACTTCAAAATTATATCAATATATATTAAACTGTATATTAGCAAACTAGAATTTAAATAAAAACAGAAAGAAAATTTTTAAAGCAAAAACAAAACTTTAAAGCATATAGATTAAGGTCAAGGCAAGATTCAGAGCTCAACTACAAGGTTATGTATTATTTTTACATCAGAGTCTGTTTTCTAGCCTACTATAAAATAATTTATAATTAATAACTCAAAATAATAAATCTATCCAAAGTCCATGCAAGTCCATTCAGTATCCACTTAAAATTTTTTCACAGTACATTAAAAGAAAAACTGTATTTTATAACTAGCATCAGACTCATTCCTCAAGGAAGCAATTTCAAACCATCAGAGGTACTGTAGGATTCTTACAAAACATTTATCCAGCAACAACAGGCAGAACTGAAGATATGTCACTTTCCCTTAACTCACCATGTGCAGATGGAGAGATTTACTAGGGTCAAGCACGCTAGAATCAATTAACATTAACAATTTCCTCCGAATGTCAGCTGCTCTAAATGACACAGTGCTGGTCTGAGCAGTAGTTACACACACACACAAGAACTTGAGCATGTCTAAGAAAAGCAGATCTTGCTTTGACAGATGTTCTTCAGCTAAAGGATTCATGGCACCTAAAAATAAAAAGCACTTATTAAAACTAAGAAAGGGATGCAGCAAACACATATATTGAATATTAGCTCAAATATCCTCTGATCTACCAAAAAAGAGAAGTTACCCTAGGATTCTGTCATCAAGAAATAATCTATGGGAAAATTTATATAAACAAATTTATTGCAACACTGATAATTATAGAGAAATAAAACGGAGTCTAAATTTCTGGCAAAAAAATGGTGAACTGAACTATGATAAATATGTTAATTGGGATATTATGAAGTCATTACAAAGGATAATTATCAATACAATAACCGAATGAAAAAATGCTATAATTGTTAAAAGAAAATGAACAAGCCATAAAAAAGCATTTGAATGTTGATGCTGATGGTAATAACAGATAAAGACTAACAGTGATGGCCCTATGAGTATTTTCATTCTCCTGCTTTCTGTTTTCCAAATAATCCATGATATGTTTCTATTTTTTTAGTAAATATTTTGAATTCCTCTCATGAAGAATAAAACTAATAAAATTCAATCAAAAATCAGAGAAATCTAAAGTATACAGAAAAGAACAAACATAATAGACTATACAAGGGAAAATAAAATGAGCATAATATTGGTATCTATGAGGACT